TGGATGGCTATAAACTGCTCATGAAATGAGACTATGGTTTCTTTCGATCTATTTCATGAGTTCGATTTGGTTTAGATATATTCCCTTTTGACGGTTTTGGTTGGCGAATTAAGTTTCTGGTAAAAGACAAGTCAAATGAATGCTAGTTTTTGTGACATCCTCAAATTTCGACCCTATTTAGGATGTAATGAGTGATTATTTCATCAATGCGCAATGAGTAGAATTAGGCTCTGAATTGATTCTTGAATCATTCAAGGGTATTCCAAGCTTTGGGAAAGGTGAATTAAGACTTCGTTGCGCGCGACCAAAGCGCTCAATCATGGATTGACAATTCGACCATAAGGATCGTTGAAGGACAACCATAAGCCATTTCAAGCCGATCTAGGAATGGTTATAGATCGATTCGACAATAGTATAGAATCGGATTGCGGGTGATTCCGCACAATTACTATATTGATTTCGAACGACACTAGACCAATCCCTAATAATCGTATGCTTCGAAATGGGCTATTGACCCCTCACGATTACATGACAACCGAGGGTCATTCATGGATTGAGAATGCTTAAACGTGGATTGAGTTGGAATCAACTACGGTTAAACGCACGAAACCCCTAAAAGCCGCCCATTGTTCTAATTATGCGAAAGACGCATTTGAGCGATTTTAACCACAAATTCTAATCCAGTTGAGGATATTGGACTCTAGAGAAGTAAGAGACAATTATTAGAAAAAGTCTGAGAATCGCTTATTTATCAGTAAACCGAGAAACTTTAGAAAAGTGAAATTTGGATCGGAAATTGGGACCCGCAAGGGGACCCACGAATTTCTAAGAGCCCAATGGGCTTCATGGACTATATAGTCGGCCACGAGGGCCCAATGGAAGGAAAATTACTGTTTTGCCCTTTTGGACCCAACTTAAGAAGTTTTGGGAATTTGTGCAAGAAAAGCTCGAGACGGGAAGCCCACAAGGAACTAAGCCCAATAACAGGGCCGAAGGAGGATTTCGGCCCAAGAAGAATGAGCTTAGCCCAAGTTTAAGCCCACTAAACCTTTCAAGCCCATTTCAAGCCCGTTAACCTTTTCAAGCCCATTTCTCTTCAAACTGGACCCGTTCAAGCCCAAACCCAAGTTTGTTGGGCCAAGCCCAAGCCCATGTGAATAGTGCACGTGAATAGTGATGTGAATAGCGTCAAGGGCTGAAATTACCAAAATACCCCTATCGTCGTCTCTTAATTACCAAATTGCCCTTCTAGAAGCTTTTTGCAAGATTGATTCCTAGCCATTGGATCTTGACTTGTTAGGCAATGATGGATCTTGGCCATCCATTTTGGGGTGTCTTGCAAGACACTTTCTCTCTCTTCCTCATTTCTCTCATTTTCTCTCTTTCTCTTCTCTCTCTCTCACGTTTTTCTCTCCCTCTCGGCCTCACCATTTTCCGCCACCATCACCGCCCCTTTTGGCTGCTGTTTTGGCCGCCGTTCACCCCCATCTCCCCCCCCCAAGCCACGCCGTGAGCCGCCCTTGCCGAGCCACCACCGTGTGCCGTCCGTCAGAGCCATTTCCTCGCCGATTTGCCCTCACCGCGAGCCAAAACAGCCCACAAAAGCTGTGGTGCTGCTGTCCATGCCGTCGTCGCCACCTCGTGTCGTTTCCAGAACGAGCCACGCGTAGCCCTCGTCGCAGCTGTCGCGCCCGTGTCGTCGAAATCGTTTTCGGGTGAGTTAACGCTCTAATCCCTTGATTAGTACGTTAAACATGCTTAGGGTTTGATTAGACTAAGTTAATCTTGCTTAGTACTAATTAATTAAGGATTAGTTGATAAGCTATCGCGATAAGTGATAAGTGGACTCGATAAGTTATCGAGAAAACGCGATAGGCTATCGAGGTTTTATTGATAAGCTATCGCCAATTATGCGATAAACTATCGAGATTTTATTGATAAGTTATCGCCAATTATGCGATAGGCTATCGAGGATTTGATGATAAGCTATCGGATTACTTTATTATTAAATTAATTAATTTTCGGAATTTAAATATTAATATTTTATTAATATTTTTGTGTAGAGTTTAATAATAAATTGTGATTGTTTAAAGCTTGAATTGTGATGCCTATGTTGGAAATTACTATATAAATTAGCTTGTATAACTAAATGAATTGTATTGCTATTTTTTAAGGATGGAATTGCGGGCATATGAACAGTAAATCCTGAGGTATCGGGTTTGTATGTCAATTTTTATGAGCTAAATATGGCGTGGATGTTTGAATTAGGAAGTATGCAAAGTTTGATAGTTTAATTATATGTATGTGATCACGTGTGAATTTATTACTGCATTTTTATGTGTGGAAATTGCAGTAATTTGTTGTGTGAGCACAAACCACGTTTGCATTTGGCTAAATGCTGAGATATAAATGAGTTGTGTTTGTTGTGCTCATGTGATCACATAAAGGAACCTGTCACCCAGCAGGGGTCTGGGGATGCAATGTGTGACATTGTGCGAAAAGTGAGTGCAATATGTGACATTATGCATAAGAGAATAGTACGTCATATACCCTGTTGCATTGGCTAAATTCAAAGATAAAGAATTAACTTGAGTGGTTGATGTGCCTGCATGGTCACATGAAAGTCCGTCTAGGCGGGGGTTCTAGATGATGCCCGGCGGGAGTTCGGATGCCGTCTAGGTGGGGGTTCTAGACGATACCGTGTCGTGGTTGAGGCCGAACCGATGCTCCTCATGGAATGCCGTCTGGGCGAGGGTTCTAGATGTTGCCGTGCCTGACCGAGCGGGACGATACCCGGTTATGCCGGAAGACACCGGCAGGGGTTCGGTTGTGGCCCTGAGTGGTCGTTTAATAATCTGGACTATTATGAGTGCAACGTGCATGGATGAATGCATTGTGCCTGAAAGTGATAATTATATGTGACTGGATTATTAAATTGATGTCGTGTATGCTTATACACTATGATATGCCTCTGGTTTATGCAATCATGTGATCTTATTATATGCTCATTGAAGCGATTGCGGAGTTATGATGGTTAGTAGAGGACCAACCTGATGCGAGTAACGCGGGTTGTGCCGTGGTTATGTGAGGTCGTAGTAATCGGAACTCACGTGAAAGAGTATGTTGCATTGCACCTGATTATAGGATGAAATTGTGAGGCACGGTATGGGATGGGCCAAAACTATTTCACTTCATAATCAGGACTTGTGTGGATACCTTATACATGAGAATTATTGAGCGTGTTCTGATTATATTATGTGCTCGTTGCATTATGATTGCACATATTGGTTTATTATATGCAGGGCGCGTGTGTGTGCAAGGCAAGGTAAGAATGCCTGCGATTATTTAATGGCACATTTGTCTATACTGGGTTGGGTAGTCTGCTTGTGTTTATAGTTAAGGCAAAGCAAGGGTTGCTCTGCTATTGATCTGCCATCGATAGGTTGCTACATGTTTAGGAGCGCCCGAGGCGAGTTGACTTCCTAATCGAGGCTTAGGTCGTTAACTTACTGAGATTTATCTCATTTGTTGTTGTTAACCGTTTTTCAGTTGCTCAGGTATGAGTACGCATTGCGTTCCATGGGAATCGGCTGTTTTGAGGGGGAACACCTTTTGAGGTTGCCCTCATAGATAGAGGAGCTAGGTTAACCCCCTACCTTTTGTGGTTGTAATTGGGAAGGTCCGCGTAGCGGACTTGTAATATGTTAACCCGATGTATTGCTGATGATGTTGTATATATTGAGGTGTGTTTTCCTGACTATCCTTGTTGTTGTGATTGGGTGGATTATAATTGCTTCCGCTTGTGTTTAATTGAAAGTTAAAATGAATGGGTCGGCGACGCGTCCTGGGACGTCGCAATTCCATGACCAAGGAAGGATGTCCACGCGCTCGAGGGTCCAGGACGTGACAGTTTTACTACATTCAAGTGCAATAAATTTGTCAATTTACACGTTGGTCTTTTAGTGAGATTCTTGGAACTTATTGGGTTGTACTTTAAATTTGAAGCTGGTATCCATGCCCTTTAAATATTAACTTTGTTACACCTTAAACAATGAAGGATATATTCAAATGTGTAGGCTTTAATTGATGACAGAAACTCTGTCATTCACCTTTTGGTTATCCGAGGAATGGAGATTTAGGTTTCAACGTTGATGAGGAGAAACGCTCCCCGACAAAAGTCCTATATGACGGCTTAAGCTTTTTCTCTTGGTAACAAGTAAGAGAAATTTACGGGATTTTTCTGTGCAGGTAAGTTGTGGCTAACTCAGTTAATGCGTAAAATTGACAACCAGTTCACCAAGTAAAGGAAGATATAGATGAGACGATAATATATCTTTCCCACCACTTTGTTGTTGTACTCTGACTTTTACCGTAACGTACAAACTCTTCATATGGTGTCAAGGACTTAGTTGTTCTCTTGCACAACATGCTTTGAATGGTCGTACTTAGCAATATATCCTTTGATATGATGAAGGAAATTTAGTTTTTCGAGTTTCCACTATTGTTAATTCCTGTATATTATAAAAAAGAAGGCAAGTTACATGTCAAATCCAAGATGATATAAATTGTTTACCTCCTAACAATAAAGTTTTAGCAAAGGTTGCCAGTGGAAATGATGCAAGACAAGGTCATCATCCCTTTCCAAGATGGCTTGATTTAACAGTTGAGCTGCATAACTCCCTGCCAAGAAACAGTTAAAGTACTTGTGCCAAGAAGTCTTTAGTGGCAATGTGCCTATAGTAGAAGGTAAGGTCACAAAGACCGAGAAGTCGTCTCCCAAGGCACTCTTTGTTTCACCTTATAAAACCGGTTAATTGCCTAACCGTGCAAGTCTCAAGGTTCCAAAGTCCACACATCTGCCAAATTTGTGAAGTTCAATACGAGTTCAAACACCCACCCCCCCCCCCCCCCAAAAAAAGGAAAATAGCTGCATGATTCAATTATAAATAGCTCAGCTCAGCATTCACACATCCTTATTAGGTTTTATCAAGTCTGGTAAACAAAAGCCACAAGCTCAAGATTAGATTGACAGGTAAACTTGTAAACGCATTCATTCAATAGAAGTCACGGAGTTGTATTTACAAGGATGATACATTCAATTTCATGCTATATACATTCGGAGTGAATTTGAGTAGAGCGCTTATGCATCTTGTGATGGATATGGACAACAGATTGATGGAATGCATTTCATGACCATCATCACAGAGGTCCTTGATGATCTTTGAGAAACCAGGTACTGACCCGGGAGCATTTTAACTGAAATTGCTCTTGGCATCGGAGTCTGAAGGCAGCCTCAATGCAGAAGCAGAAGGATTCCTGGAAAGCATAAGATTTCCTTTGACATCTTCAGCTCCATATTCCTTCAATTGTGCGTCCATGACGATTTTGCACGATCCCCACGTCCCAGCCATTAATCCCACACCATGGTAGACTAAATGGTCCATGATGCTGTTACCAGTTATCGATCTGCAGAGACACACTCTCATCAATCGTCCACATATATTCCTGGTAACAAAGGACCAACATTCTCTAGAACAAGCTGGTCTGTCACGACTTATTGCGTCTAGCATGACAAATCCACAAACTAATTGCTTGAACAAGTAGCTACGACTGAAGCAACTTCATTACCTGCTGCATGATGGATCTTCTCCAGAGCTATCACAAACTTTCTCAGCCTGATAAACCAGACTACCAAATCCTATATTAGACAGCCATACCTGTAACAAAGGGAACATTCAAATTACATGTGAACACTGACATGGAAAAGATTATGATTAGTGGCCAGAGAAGCAGGTGGAATCAAATCATTTTCACATTATCTCACATCAATATGTTTATCCGTGCCTGTCATTGAGCTAGTCGCCAATCATTACAAGCATTAGTAGACATACAATAATTAAAATGCGTATAATTGCACAGAGCTTAAGACTAGGTTATCAGCCATCAGAGAGAGAGAGAGAGACAGAGACAGAGAGAGTATAAAGCAGACATTATTACGCTGTCTTAAACTTTGGAATTGGTACGAAAAAACTCATGAAGGCTCTTGCAGGAATGAGAGTTACTCAAACATTTCTGAAAAGTCATGAGTACTACTAACTACCCTGCTTTGATAAGAAGATAAAAAACAAGACAATAATATTTTATATGCTAAAAAAAGAGAGTACATACATTGTTGGAATAAATGAGACTTCACCAATTAGATAGGTTGAAAGAAATGCAAAGCAAACATCAAATTCAGTCCATGATAATTCCCCATAAATTATATGATATTCTGTCGAGATCAAAGCCTTACCTCTCTTGGGAAGTGATGGTAAGTCTTCTGTGGGAACCGAGAATAATACGGAGGCAAATAGGGCACAATATCATGTCCATTAGTAATACGTATTGTATTTGGCACACGGTCACTGTAGTAAGACGCAAACGCTGAATTGCCAATACGAGGTTGTCCAAATGTTAAAACCTGAACATTCCGTGCTTCATGATTGACCTGGAAATGAAGTGTCACCAGTTATATAAGTAAACCAAGCGAATGCTGGTCTGGAAAAAACAGCTTCAGCACACATAATTAGACAGCCAAATAATTTGAATGTTAATACATCAATGGCCCTTTTGGGACCGAAAAAAAACACTACGCATCAATAACCATATCTCGCATTTCATATTCAATGTTGAACAATAGAACAGCCCTTTCTCTCCATGAGGGTTGAAGGTCTAGCGATACTTTGTCAAGATCCCATCCATAATTTTCCCAACACCAAACCCCACACCCACAATAAAACCAACCTCACCCTCAGCCCCAAGAAAAGGTGTTAATAATATGGAATAGTAGGATTGAGGGGTGAATTTACAGACAAGGCACATTTAAATGCTGCCACAAGAAACAATTGGATGTTGGTGACGTGAGTCACATCCTGCTAATGACTTCAACAAAAAATTCCAGGTTCATAGTGAAAATGCCTCTTGAACTCCAAAACTTACCATCATAAATAGCGAAGGAGAAACTAAATCAAAAAAAGGGCCACGACGCATGGGCATGATGTCACAATCGGCTAAGAACAATTTTCAGCAAGAAACCAGAAAACAAAAGTAAAATTTTAAATCATTTGAGTTAGGACAAGATGTTAAACTTGCTACTAATACTTCGAGAAAAGGTACAGTCTACAGTTTATGCAATCTATGATCCTATCATAGGCCACATGAATGTTTGACTCTAAAAAAATCACCACTTGTCATGGAGAAGAGAATCAATGGGACATGACTTTGGGGTGGGTACCATTTCTGGTACCAATTCCGCAACAGGTTCCTAGAAAAGTACACTGGACCACTCTGTCCAATAAAGTTGAGACAAAGGCATAATTTAAACATCTTAGAATTGGCTCCACCCTACAACGTATCTGGCCCCGCAGTCTAACTGAAGAGGAGCTGCTTCATTTGATTAGAGAAAGACAGACAGAAACAGCGCACAAAACATAAATTTAGGATCGATAATCCATCTTAAAATGCATTAGCACTTTTAAGATTACATGACATAAAATTTCAGCTTCAAGTGCCTAAAAAAGTCATATGTCTGAACCATAAACATATCAACAATCCCATAAAGTTTCCAGCAAGTAAACTCTTTAATGAATAGTTGGATGTCTTTATCAACTACATTTAAGTATTCAACCAACTTAAAGCTCCAAAGCTTAACATATACGACTCAATTCACACAACTAGATACTTCAACAATTGGTAATTCGCGTGAAGGGCTATTTGCACCCCATTCTGCTTGTGTTTTGTCTATGGGTTGATTTACCAAAACGTAAGAAAACAAGACGCTATGAATGACAAATTGTATATATAAATATGAGAGCCCTAGAAAGTTGAAGATCCACTAGACTCTTCAAGGTAGAATTGGCAGAGAATTCCGGATAACTCCAAACAGACCAAAACTGAACAGTTGGAAGAACACGAAAGAAGAGATCAATAAAATTCACAAGTCCCAACCACAACAAATTTTCAATTGTCTTACCACAAGATCAAGTCCGTAAAAGGATGCCATAGCCCCTCCTATAGAATGCCCAGTCACCATGACGTTAATGTCTCTATATAAATCCTTGGCTCCTATGACAGCATAAAAAATACCAGGTCGAATTGTCGTATTGTGATAAGCATAATAAAATCCATCACGAACCTAAGCAACAATTAATAGAGTAACGCTGTAACTCAATCCAAATCAGAAGTATCCACAGGTTGCAAGAGGCTTATCATCTCTAGAACTTACCATGGCACCGGGCATGCCAGGGTAGTTTATGTAAAGCTATTTCTAGTAGAGATCTTCAACCCAATTTCGTACGCTGTAGACAATGAATAGAAGTAATCACTAACTGAAAAGCTCAAATTATAAAGAGACGTGATAGAATTTTTTACGGAACAAAATTAGTGAAGTACGTGATCTCCTCACAACTCCATCTAAAATTACAAGAAAGTAACTTTCTTGTCTTGGTGGAAATGATTCACCCTTTTTCCGTTCGTATGGACAGCAGACCCATGTGCCTTGTGTACACATTCACCGAGGCTGCTCTTCTTAGCTTAAATTTTCATCAAATCCTTTGCATGTAAATTGTGAGGGGAAGAATTGCTAAAGTTAACATGCATACCTATGTTCTTGAGTACCTCTGAAAGCTATAACCATAGCATTAAGGTCCTTGGCCACCCCAACATATGCCTACAGGTGTAAGATTTAGAAATAGAGACAAACAATTAGATGCAATTCAAGCATAGAGGCATCACAAGCATCTAAATTGATAGGCCACTGTAACACGAATTGTATACCTGTAAGCAGTGCTGGACATCAACTATCAGTTCAATGACTTCGAACCCCAGCTTTCAGATCAAAAAAGGCATTAATAACTAGTTCAGAAGCTCATAAGACAAGGCAGCATATGCCCACAAAATCCCATCTCAAGAATTGGCTATTTAGTACTGAGGACCCATTATTCACGCAACCTTAGCAACAATGTTATATTAAAACGTAGTCAAATTACCTTGGACTTTCCATCACATCTAGGACATGTCCAGCTAAACAGTTCGGTCAAATCTGACATGTAAACCTGCAATAAAAAGCTTTGCATGAAATTACAATTTTATTGTATTGAAATGGTGAAACCTGATGCGTAACAACAACAAGCTTTAGGTAAATGTGAATTTTTCTGTTAAAGAACACTTACGGCAGATGCATACTCCACCAATATCGTGGCAAGACTGTGATTGTAAACAACTTTATGAGACCTTGGATTATAGTCCATTACTCAACTGGACTAAAGCTGGATAGCTGATGTTCAACCACTGTGAGCACTCAACAAATTTTATCCCCAGAGTAGAAACAGCAGAATGAGATTTGCATCGAACAAATATAAGGAAAGCGTAGCATCGATCCAAACTCGGTAATCTAAGGGCTTAACAGAATCAACCAAATACAACTCAACGCACGTCAGTTACATGCTTTGAAAACATCCAATTGTACACCGGAGGTATAGTTTGCCCCCACTCAGTCAGGTACTACGGCTCCACAACACAGTCAACGATTTCCCCCAACCCTAAAACACCTAACCCGCACAAATTCACAACACAAATTTCACCGTCCAAGCTCAAAACACGACGTACTCAATCCCAGCGCCTCTGTCTATTTCGCGCCTTCTCGCTATCAAAACTCCCGATCAGAGAGAATCAGAGCAGTAGCAAGTGATGCCAGGAACGCGAATTGCGATTTACTTCTCGCCACCCCCCCCCCCCCCCTCCCCACTTGCGGCAATCAAGCATTGTCAGAACAACCATCGCCCCTCAACCACCACCCGTTCCGCCGCTCCCCATCCTGCAAACAGAAACCGAAGGAGAGGACGACGGATTTACGATCCTTCCTGATCTGCCCTCAGGATCTTCTTCTGTTGGCGGGCATATTCGGCGTCACATTGGGTGATTTCGTCGTTTGCGTGAGGCCACTCAAGGAAGTTCCTCTCCTAAAATCAGGACGTTTTAGAAAGAAAGACTGCCCGGCGTGGTCTTCTGTTGTGTTTTTTAGCCTTGAGAGAATGAGACATGCTTTTTTGGAAAATTTTGGGTCCTATCTTCTCTTCCCCTCCTTTGGAACTCCTCTTTGATTTCTACGCATTAGCACTTTGACTCGGCTTGGTTCAATTAGTTGGTTCAAACTAAATTCTAAAAAATATTCTAAATGAAAGTTAATATTATTTATCTGTTTATTTATATTCGTGGAGGTATGTGAAAATGCAATTTACTCCATTATGGTGGCAAGCTCTCTCGAGTTAAATTTTTCAAATTCATGCTTGAATCAATATAATGACTCGAGTTGTTCAAACTCGAGTGACCGACGAGTTGAGGTTAATTGTGAATTATGGAACCCACTTCTCTTGGGTTAAGAGAGAGAGAGAGTTCGAGAAGGCAACTTGCTATTGGGTATCGATTCTCGAATACTCTTGGAATATTTTTGTTGAATTGGATCCAATATTTCCTACATTTTTTCAGATAAATGTACCTCCGGTATTTTGAATTGAATCGCTTAATCTAAAATTTACAAAATATTTATAGTGTGAATACAACTGGACCGATCACCGTTTTATAAGATGATGGCATTGTCATCCCGTAATTGCTCGGTTGACATATGAGTCATACAATTATCGGAATTGAATACTTCACTTTACACTTTACACGTAAAAGATTATTAAATAAAAGAAAAGGTCTATAATCTTTGAGAACAAAAGTCATTGGACTTTTTTCACCAGCTATGTTTGAAGTAAAAAAAAAAGTTTGTAACCTCACACAACAAAAGTCACAAAATGTCGTTTAAAAAAAATACCAAAGCGTGCGAATGAATTATTATTTTTATATATCGCAGTTAGCTCACACAAACAAAATAAAATAAGAACCCCAATGTGCGGTATGGGTGATGTTTGGTGGCTCTCACGGATTTATATTCATAGTCAAGTGTTTATAAAAGCACAGAAAAATTAGTACACGAAACAAAAGGTGGAAGTTAAGAAAAAGTGAAATTCAAGAGAAATTATTGTGGAGAGTAAATTAATCAATTTTGTAGAGATCAATCTTCAAATCTCTTCCTTTATACGTAATATAAATTATAAACACATCAATCCTTCATTCGACTTAAGTCAAATTTTATAAGCACAGAACAGATTTATGAAACAATCATTTTCTAATCAAGCTCATGCACCGCTCGTTCACTATGAAAGAAGAAAAAAAATTGAACATTAGAAAGCCGCAATCCAAACCCAAGCATGATAACCCAAATGATGAAAGGATCACGCCATCTTCCATTAATTCACAGGTTGGAATCCTGTCGTGAGCGAACCTCTGACCGGTTAGTATTTTTAGGTGTCCGCAACGTCATGTGAAAGGATTTTCAAGCCTTTAACATATTAGTTACGATGACAAATTCATATACCTATAGATGGATTGAGTGATTATGGCTCAAACAAGATATTCCATAATGAATATAACACTTTATGATAATAGCCGGTATGGATAATCATATTGATGATTTCTTCTCACTTTTTAATTTATCAGGAAAAAAGAAAACTGCGATCTATCGTGACTCAAGCGGAGAGGCCAAGCCGGACAACCCCCAAATCATCTAGCCGCGGGTCCATCTTGCACCGCCGTGGCGAGACCCTCAGAAGCAGCAGACGTCGTCCGACGAGGCCCTGTCTGACAGCTCCGAGGAGGAGTAGCAGTAGCTCAACGAACGATTGACTTATGTGGTGACAGTCTGTCTGGTTGTTGTTTCTGCTGTTCTGTTCAAAGACTTCTTCCGGAGAAGTCTAAGTGCAAGTAAGATGACGGGAGAGGGCAGTCCAAATAATGATGTTGCTACGAACCATTTATTAGCGTGAACGGTGAAATGATTGGTACCTCTTGGAGGAATTCACATGAACAAAAAGTATTGTAAGAGCTACCGGTGTAAAGCCCTGCCCAATTGGTAAGCGGGTGCATGATTTTTGGGGGAAGTTATGTCGACTAACTTTGTTCAATTCGCATGCTGGTTTTAAGGGACGAACATCAACAATCTCTGTCTTTAAAGGGAAAATGCATCTACAAACTACCAAGATGGAAGGGAAAGTCTGACGTGGACTCTTGCCTTAAAAGGGATTTGCTGTATGACCTCGTATCAGTTAGATCGGGCGGATCTTTCAATGTTGAAATGGTGCTGTTAGATGCTGGATTTCAGGTACATGTGAATCTAGATAGATTGATCTCCACCACCTCCCAAAGGAGCCTAGTTCAATGGAATGTTTGAGAGAACGCTTGATCGTGGAGCTTCCTGACTCGATTGGATCCCTCATAACCCTTGAGCACTAGTCTTTGAGAAACTGCAAATTGATAAAGATGCTACCGGACTTAATCTGGAATTTGGAATCGCTTGCTGAGTTGGATATGTCGAACATGGACATAGAAGAGCTGCTTGGTTCAGTCGGGATCATGAAGCATTCGAAAGTACTGAAGATGAGCTTCTCTGCCAAAAGAATGATATAGAGTGTAGTATGGAAGCTGAAAAAGCTAGAAGAAATAGATGCGGAGCTTAGTGAGAATTTGCCAATAGAAATTCCAAGGATATCTAAAGATATTTTTTTTTGGTAAAGGTAAGTGTTGATATCTGGAGATATTCATCTTGGAAGATTTTGAAAGTGACATGTGCTGAGATACACCAAGTACCGGGGCTCCTAGAAAAATCTTATATGTCTGCATATTCATACCGAGTTGATAATGGCATTTATAATCTCTCAACCTTGAAAAGCTTGAGAGATTTGTCTTTGGGAAGTTGAAAGTCTCCTCACCCTCTTGGCCCGTCTAAGGTTGTGGAAGATGCTATCCCCCGCTGGATCGGTGGGTTAAACAAATTGGAGTCTTTAGAGTTGTCCTCTTCAACAATGACCACCATATCACTAGATATTGCGCAGCTTTCTCATCTCAAGAGACTTGCACTCTCGAATGAATGTCTGAGGTGCCTCCCAATGCTTCCCTCAAGTTTATCGCCCTTATGAATCAGACATTGCCAGTCAACACATACGTTGATAGACCTATCAAACTTGAAGAAACTATCATAACTTGTAATTGAGTATTGCACAGTTACAGACATTCCAGGCCTTGAGAGTCTGGAAAGTCTTAGAGCATTGAAGCTGAATGAACTCAACCATCTGGGCAGATTGGATGATCTAAGTGGCTTCAAGAAACTAATGGCTTTTCATTTACATCATCGTGGTAATCTGATCGATCGGAATTGTTGGAAAATTTGTGGATCTCCTCTGGCAACTCAGTCTTGAAGCTTCCTAATGTATCAACGTTAAAGAAATTAAAATGGATAGGCATACTTCACCGTGGGTGATTTGGGAATTCAGCACATTATGGAGTTGCTTGATCAAACTTGGCAAGTTTATGGAAAGGGAAAATAATAGATACCTGCTCTATTGAGTACTTTTTTTTCAGATAAGAAGTGCCTTCTATTCTGTTATAGATATGAATTACCAAGAGGTTTATGCAAATCTTCTTTTCATGTGCACTTGGCATGTTGACTTCTTATATGGTTTATATACCCTTGTTCAGATCTTTTTTGTTTTAGTTTGGTTTGGTTTAGATGTTTGAGTGGCTTTGAATTGCTAATTAATTTACCTGGTGAGGTCAAGTCAATTTATATAACTTCCAAGTGCAATATTTTGTCAATTTACTATACGGCGATTTACGGGAGGTATCCTTATAATTGCTGCTTCATATTACTGAATCTGAAGTTGTTCGATGCCCATGCTTCACGCAGGAGAACTAACTTCATCATACCGTATAGGATAAACTAGTTGTTATAAAGCATGTGAAATATCTCAACACTTATGGCATCACCTCTGCTGTAAAGTATGGGTTTTACAGGTCAAAAAGTCAAAGGCAAAAAGGAAAAGAAAAGAGAAGAAAAAGTTTGAAAAGTCAAAAAGAATAAAAAGAAGTATTATAAAAGGGAAAAAATGAGACCATCGGGTGAGAGAAGCAAGAGCTCACCGAGAAGAAGAAAGAGAGGAAAGAAAGAAGAAAGAAGGGAGAAAGAAAGGGTTTTTGCACGTGCTCGCCACAGGAGTCTCGCCAAGCCGGAGTTCGTTCGTATCGCCACGCTCGGTAAGTATTCGCGCCCATTGTTCGTTCAATCGGAATATTTTTCGGGGTTAGGGCTTATATTTTGGAGTTATGAGTTATTCGAGCGGCGAAGTCCGATTTTTGAGTCGTTGAGCTGTGAATATATATAGAATTGGTAGTTTAGGGTGCTGCAAGGCTGTGAGATCTTACGGAACTCGATTTAGACTTTCGGTTTGCCGGATATGAATTTTTGAAGTTAAGCGCGTGCAATGAACAGTGCGCGACCAGAGGTTTTTAGGCTGATTTTCGTCCGTTTTTGGCTCGATTTTGGGATGGCCAAGTTGGGGCTTTTGTAATACTCTGAACGGGCTTTCTTTTGACTATAAGTTTGCTAGGATCAGAGTTCGATGGAGAAAGTTATGGCGCGATCAAGTTTCGCGTTCAAGTTTTGCGTTGCGGACGGTTTGGATAATCGTTTTGGATGAGCAATTTGTGAGCGCCTTTGAGTTGTCCTGTTAGCGTTTAAGCATCGTTTTGCCGTTTTGTAGTTGTCGTAGTATTTTATTTGGTTTTGACGTCGACTCTCGTTTAATTGTTAGGGTTACGAGATTGTCGGTTCGAGTGAGCGTCGT